CCGAAAAAAGGCCCTCGTTTTCCCGCGCTGCTCCTCTGAGCTGGTAAGTGGGTATTCTGACGCAAGAGTGCTGGAAGTTTGCATTCAGTAATTCCCAGTGAGATATAGTGGTGTAAGAGCCTCCTAAAGCAGAGACTGTGATTTAAGCGACTGCCTGTATGTGCTGGCATCCGAGACTCGCTCTGGTCATAATCATTGCCGCCACTCTGCTCGGGGCGGAGAAGCTAGAGTGGATGCTAACTACCGCATGCTAGCTGTTTGTGCAGCGAACATGAGGGGTTGTCAGTGTGTGTAATGGATCCACCCTTTCCTGTGTGTGTATTATCGTGTTGGCCTATTTCAATTAACTGAAACTGCGTCACATTGTTGGACGCAGCGTCTCTTGCAGGAGAGAATTGTGTGGTGCTGGGTGTTCACTGAAACAAGATTGGAGACGTTAGACTGTGTTTAAGTCGTTTGGTTGTGACTGACTCCTCACACTTAACGTGATACCTAAAAATGTCCTCTTAATGAATTTTTAAAAATAAAGATGGCAGTTTCATGGCATTTTGAAACACTGTTCAGAAGTTACAACAAAAATTCAGTTTCGATCAATCTGACATGTACCGAGTATGCTAGTCCTGTTAGTCATGTACTACTTTATAGCTTTCAAATAACTAGTAAAAACCTATAAAGCTTTTTTTTGGTAATTGTGTCTGTATAAGCTGCATAATATTGAGAATGAAATAATCAAAAATGCAACATCCAGAATGCCTTAAAAAAGTGGAAGCAAGATAGCAAAAACATTATTAATAGATCAGATAATAAATAAAACATCTTAAGTACCTTTTGGTGTTTAGTTTAAAAGATTTATGTCTGCATTGTACATTATTAGTGTAAATAAAATAACACAAATTATTAAACTGAAAAATTATTCTAGTTGTATTGAAAAGTTTGAACATCTCCGGTCAAAATATTAGTTTTGTTGAATTTCTGGGTGAAAATAAATAAGCAAAACGCAAATGTGAAATAAATTATAATTTCTGCCTCTGCACAGGTCACATTTTATTCTTATTATTTTTAATGTGTTAACCCTTTATTTCAGGCCAACAAAACCATTTCCCTCACTTTACGATAACATGATGCATCTCTTAATGGGCACGTTTAACCTCTTTTTCCACATTCAGAATTAATTTGAATTTGCAGAAATACGCTTGTTGCCTAAAAGCTGCATTGTGTGACAGTGGGAATGGATTTGGCCAGCCACAAGCCAGGTCTTACAACCTAAGGGAACACGGCTCTGTATCATTTGTTCATTGGCAACATACCCCAAAAGGACCCCTGAACACACAATCAGGTCCATTTCATGCAAGAAAGGGAATCAAACATTTATTTATTTATTTTTGATTGCTCTCATAATGTGTGCAGTAGAGGGTTAATTAAAATCAACAAAATATGTAAATTGACCAAACTTTTGCATATGACTGTATGTGTATTGGTAAAATGACATTTAATTATGCTGATTTAGTCAAGCTATTCTGGCACTTCTTTAGATGTTATCCCATATCAATCTGGTTTAAAGCTATATTTCATTTTTTCAGAAATGTTCCCTTTATGTACTTGATTTCAGTGACATGCTGATGATTCCATTTCGTGAAATTGTACCCCAATGCGTTGGATATAATTGTATAATGTGCTTATTGATTCCTTTCAGCATGCTCACACACCAACATTTCAATAGTTACCTATTTCTCTTCATTCAGGCCTTTTTGAGATTTTGTTTGATGTGAATAAAAACTTTAAATTATACACAACTGATATTAGTGTTTTCAGTAGCTGTTTATAATGTTTGTAAATTTGTGTGTAATCACAGTCTTTCAGTGTTTATTTCACTAATCTCATCTTAGTAAGTTGAACATTTGGTATGAGATGAGTTTGAGCAGACAATACATGATTTGAACTGCATTTTGTCAAAGAACAGCTTGGCACAGTTGTGTGAAAATGTTCACAATAATGGGGAAAAAATCTGATTTGCATATTGATGAACTGTCATTCACACTTTGTGTAGCTAGCGGGATCACAGTCACACTCATCTTTCATTATCAGCACACAGACAGGGAGGTCTGTAGAGAAAGCGCAAGATCCTTCTTACCATCGCATACATCCCACATTGCCTGAAGAATAACACAGTGCGTTCATGTAGTGTTGTCAGATACAAAGGCAAACAAGCTAGTGAGGTTTTAATTTGCTGCTCTGTATTAGTCCTTTTGCTACAAAGTCCATTTGCTACAAAGAACTTTAGAAACAAATCTGAACTCTCCCACAAACACATCTCCAGAATAATGTTTATTGCTTTTGAAGATATTATTCTTAGCTCTTTTTTCTTTCCATCCTTTTCATTTTTTTTTTCAATTTTACAATAAAACAAACAAACAAACCCCAAAAAAATCTTACTGCAAAGAAACTATTTTTTGTCTTTGATGTGTACACACAAATACACAAAGGAAAGTCTATGTACACTGGTAGTTTCATATAATACACTGATGTAACGTAGGAACTGAGGGGCGACAAACTCTTTTGTCTAAATTGCGGGTATAATATTGTTTTTGCCTTCTGAAAAAACATTTGCAGTGACCTTTTGACCTTGCAAGAACCAGCTTGAACCGATCATTTTTGTGTCATTTTGTTACAATGATTTTTCAACATTTCTGCCTGATTCAAGTGTTGAGATGTACACAGTGTCTTTCAGAGTGGTTTGTTGTGAAACATTGCATTGTAGAGCAACTTGCCAGCCCTGATATTCTTCACACAGCTAGTGATGGGAATCAGGGGTCGTGATGTCTTCACTGAAAGTATGTTTTATGTACTCTCCAAAATAAACAAACTCGCACATGTATGTTTTTTATACGTAATGTTGATAATTTGGTGACTGTTTTGCCTTACAGTGCCCTGTATCTCTCTACCATGAATGCATATAAAAAATATACATTTTTAGATCAAAACTTTATCTCAAAACTACAAAACAATGTCTGAGGCATCAGGCAACGTATTCATAACCATTTCATGCGATAACTTTCTGCGAGATAGTTTTAGAGGCATTAAACTCTTTGGATATCTGGTTCCTATCACCTGGTAATTTTATATAGAACGATGCATTTCACACCAAACCACTCTGTATGACTTTGTTTGCATCTAATCAAGTTAGTTATGCAGAAATGTTAAAAAATCAGCTGAATTCCCCTTTAACAGTTGTGATTCTGTGGGTTTCATTTGTAATTGCCAAAACAAATAAACATTAGTCAAACTATGTGACCATTTTATCTTTAAAATGTGCAAACCCCCAGTATAACTCACATTTGTCTCATTACAGCAATTACTGGGTGAATATAAATGGCATTTTAATTGTCCTCTATGGAGTCAAGTATCTGCAAAAATGACCAAAGGCTATAATTAGAGGCAGTTGAGCAAATGTTACATTTTTTTTTGGCCACATAAAAACTCCAAGAAAACAAGTGCTTTCTCTTTTTTATAATTCTGAGTCACTATAAACGCCTACGGTCCATCTCACCAGAACCTGTTTTCATTTAAATACAGAATTAAATCACACCAATACATCAATCTCATATAATAGTAATTGAACATAATATACACAATAATAAAATATGTACAATGAGATATAGATGCAAATTTAAGCACTTTCCTTGCTCCATTTCTCATTCTCTATGTCTCAGTGAACATTTTATAGCTGCTTTAAATAAGACTTTTTAGCACTGAATGAACATGGTAACTGTACAAGGGGAACAAAGAAGTAAAAGCATTATATAGCCCAGCACAATAAACACATTATGCATCCATGTGCAAGAACGGGGGATTATTCTTGAAAGGACAAATTTGAACGTTACATTCATACACAATCATTGTGTGTGCAGAAGTCATATGTCACCACTAGATGGCAATGTTTGACAGCGTTTCCAACGTAGCCAACCCCTTAAAACCTAGTACAACCCTATGCAAGTAAGTGCTTTATTGCAACACAACTCAGTTGCTATTAAAATAGCTTCACAAAATTGCTGTTATTGCAGTTGGCTTTGTATTACTATGCTGCTTGGATATTGTACTACAGAGCTTAACACATGAACATATGAGCAGTAAAATTTGTGCAGTGTACCCCATTCAAACCATCACTTTTAGTAGGAATGAAGTCAAACTACCTTGTCGGAATAATATGTAGACTGAATAAAAAGGGTAACAACTGGAGAACTCATAAATATCATAATACAATGTAACCAAAATTGGAAAGATTCATACATGAAACCCCTACCTTATGTTAAGCCAGACAGTTTTATATTTGTGCTGGCAACATTTTAAATATAATGAGATATTTAAAAAAATAACAAGGCCATGATTTTGATCAATTTCTTGGTAACATTTTCTTTAGAAAGATGTAGATTTACAACAAACAAAATATTAACGGAAGTAGATCCCAACATTTTATGTTATTCTCTAATGAAGCTTGCCAATATTTAATCATTTGCATGATTTTACTACAATTTTTTTTTTTAACATTTTCCTAAAAGCAGTTAGTTTCTTTCATTTGTTCACACTGGTCAATTTAACTGATTCTGCATGTGCATGCAGACTAAAATTTCATGTTTTCGAAAGTTGCTGAAAAGCATTGAACAAATAATTAAATTTTTCTGAATATCCACAAAACAAAATTAGGTTTGGACAAATTTAGTGTAATAAAGATTGCTTAAAATGTGCATTTGTAAATGCAGAAGTGCACGTTTATCAAAGGTTTGTACATGATGTGCAAATGGCTTTTTACTATGATAAAACTGAAGCAGCAAAACACTGATACAGAAATTAAAAGGTGGGGCAGATAAGCATCAGACAAAAGTTCAAAGGAAGATGAAGCACAAAAGTAAAGCAAGAATTTACAAGATGAAGAAATACAAGGACAAAGAGAAAGAGGCAGAGAGTGCTTGACTTAGCTGAATGGGAACCGAATGTAGAGCACATTAACTGTGAGCAAGTTTAAGAGAGTCTGTTTCTCTGTGCCGGTCGACTAGAGTGAGGGAAGGTGAGAGGGACGGAGGGAGGGATGGAGGAGGAGGAGTGAGGGGTACCAGGCTTTTCAGAGGATGGGGGGATACAGGAGGAGGAAGCGAAGAAAGCGGAGGTAGGGTCCCTCCCAGGCCCCCAGTCTTGGCCTCTAGCATGTGGGGTTGTCCGCCCAGCCTGGGCTCTTTGGCCAGGGGGAAGTCTGGCTCGTTCTCATTTTCTGAGCTGCAGTCGCTCAGGTCAGTGATTTCCAGCTCAGAGTCCGACTCTGGGTCTTGTTTTACACCACCACGCCGGTCGGATGGGCTCTGGCGGCCTCCTCCTCCAGTCCCCAGGCCCAGTCCTCCAAGGCCAAGGCCCAATCCCAGTCCCATTCCAATCCCTCCACCTGCCCCTGGGATGTTGTTGTTGGTCTCCCCCCTCTCCCTTTCGCCTACTCCTGGGCCAATGCCACCCAGCTCGGTCCGGCCTTGCAGCAGGTTACCCGGGTAGGGTGGGATGCAAAGTCGAGGGGGCTGACCACCTGCTGTGCCATTGGTGGTTCCTCCAGTTTGACCCCGCTCCGTTGCAGTTGTGTCCGCTGGCGGGAGTAGTGAGGAGAAGGGATGGGGCAGCTGGGACAAGCCAGACTGAAGCGGGTTGGGGTAGAAGTGCGAGGGGTACAGGGAGCCTGGGGGCAGTTTAGGACAGTTATTTAGTGAGAAAGCCCCAGGAAGATAAGGGTTGAAGCCCCAAGAGTAGTCAAAAGCAGGGTTACGGGGGTAAGGACCCAACATGGATGGAGGTTTGGAGTAACAAGGAGTCCCTGTTGGGGGTAGAGGTAGAATTAGCACTCAAGAACAAATACACTTCTAAAGGAGATAACAAACTAGAAATAATGTCCTACAAATACTCTTAAATCAATAAAGTGATTTGTGGCATACGTTTTTCAGAAATAACCCTGAAAATGACATAACTTTACTTGGAGGTACTTCACTCTCAAACCTCATTTACAGAGAACCATTATTTTCATTCTCTTCAGTGTTCTGTTAAAATTACATTGAACAAAAAAATTGTATTAACAGAGTTCATGTAGCTAAACCTTCTTTTTCTTTTTTTCCCACTAAGAAAGAAATCCTTCCTCTAATTGCTCGTTCTCTCCAAATCTTTACCTCTGTCTCTTCCTCACACTCTTCCTGTCTTCTCTTACTCTCTTCATACTTTCCTCATCCTTCCAAGCCCATCTCTCTCTCTCTTTCTCTCTCTCTCTGTTATTTGCTATGCAGGGCTAATTTGACAGTGCTACAGTCTCTCTGTGTGTTGGGCCAGAAGTAGCTAGCAGACACATGAATATTGAATCAGTCAGGCAGGCCTCACTTGCTTATGAAAACACAGTAATGGGCGCCCACAGGCCACAAACTGAAGCCTGCACCCTCAATTAGGGCCTTCCTGCCTGGGAAGGGATTAGGACAAGGGGGACACATGGGAGTGAGATCAGGGTAAGGAGGGGAGGAGGGAGGAATAGGACCTGAGGACAAACAAAGTAAGGGGGGCCTGTTGGGGTGGTGAGGTACACACACACAAAAACAAACACATACGTGCACACACACACACACATTCTAATGCACAGATACTGTAAAAAAAGCTTATATGGCGAAAAGACAAAGAAGTGCATGCATACAAACTGATAGAGAGCTCTCACAGAGGAGGTACTGAAGCATATTCATCGATATGCTAGTATGCATACTACAATGCAAATGAAAAATAACAGTCACAAAGACAAAGTAACTGCAGGGGTCCAATCAGCTCCCACGCTGCTTGACAAATGCGATATAAGGACGCACCTCCTCTTTCAGATATTTATTCAGTATTTATTCTTTGGACATCCGCAACCAGACCGCATCCCACGACCCACTTTCTTCCAAAGTAACGGAAAGAAAAATCCCTCCGCTTCTCTCAGGTTCTTTTCAAGCCCTTAAAAACAACATTCTGTCCTGACCCACCCTCCTTTCTGCTGTCTATCTTTTCTTTTTGTTTGACTCTCACCTGAACTGAGGAAAGGGAAAGTGTCCAGCCTCAGCTTATCCCCCTCTGGCCCCGGGGCCCCTGCGCCGCGGTCAAACAGAGACGTCCCTCGACCAGACTCAGGCAAGCGGGGGAATAAAGACTGCAGGGCCTAAGAGGTTAAAAGTGAGCAAAAGGGAGAGGGATGGATGAAAAGGAATTGTGAAGGCAGGTGAAGGAGAGTGAGGAAAGACAGAAGAAGGAGAAGCAGAGGGGAATATAGAGAAGAATTCAGATTTTTGTATTGATGCCTACAGTTTGCACAGTATCTGTCAAACTGTCTTTTAAGAACAATGCTCAAATGTTTATTTTACTGCTTTAAAAACACACTAGATGAGGTTTTGAAAGACAGAAATTAAATGAATGGTTTAAACATTGAAGCAAACTAAATGTTATATTATGGAACAGCTGGCAACATCTACAGTAACTAAGACTTATAATAAGGCCTGACCGATGTATTTTGTGACCTATATCACTATTAGCTAGTATAATTTTATAGTTTAGAGATTTTAATTCTGTACTCCAAAAGCTTAAACAGTGCTTAATTCTCCAATAATTAAGTAATTAAGTAGCACGTATTAAACTCAAATAGCAGACTCACACAATCTTAAATAACAGAAATGTTGTAGTGCTAGAAATGGAGCAGTTTTGTTTTCTGTTATGTTGTTTTTTTATGAAATTTTATTATTAGTTCTCTTCATATAAAAGGTAGTTTGTGTTATAACAACGTTCTCATGCTAACTGATAGGTCTGGATAAATTTGGCATGATTTTGCAATGCTAACTAAATTAACAGCAGGTTATTGGCAATATCCTCACTGATATCTGGTAAACCGTGGATAATGATATTATCGACTGATATTACCGGCCTTCCAATATATCGGTCAGGCCCTGCTTCACAAGTGTGAAATATAAAGTCTACTCAGAGATATAATATACCAAAACATTTTCTATTAAAAAAAACTCTGATTCAAAAGAAGTAGGGATGAAGCTAAATAAGGAAAACTGCTATGTCTGTGTACACATGTCTAGGTATGTGCAGTCGCTGTAAGTCTCAGAAATTTCTCTTTTATTTATTAAGACCATCAAGAATTTCTGTCACCTCTCACTTCTGAGTAACTGCGCCTCCAATCTTGTTGTAATCTCGATTTCTTAACCATCCTGCATCAATTATAGAGAACCAACCTCATACTCCCCTTCTCCTTTAATTTCTTACATTTCTTTCATTTTCAATCGATACCACGGTAGAATGCAGCAGCCAAGGTGAGGATGAGAGGGAGAGGATAATGTCTTCTTTTGTTTTAAGGCCTTTTAACACCCACTTTGACATTTCTCTCTTCTTTCTCCTTCACCTTGGCAGATTCCTACCCAGTTCACCCCCTCCCCCTCTTCCTTCTCTCTCCCCCACCATTCCACATAACTTTCTCACATTGTAAGTGTTTAAAGTTTTTAAATGGTGAACTGCAATTTACTAAATGCTGAGTATAATATGAAAATGTGATCATTAATGAACCACAAATCATACATTTCAGTTTTGAATATTGCAATTTGAAGTTAGCTGCATTTACAACACTTTTATTGAAAAAGTTATATAAGACTATAAATTATATATGGTTGACTCCTTATATACAAAGTTAAGAAGCTAACTGTTACAAATTCAATTAATTAATTGCACTCAGTTTGAGAGGGGATGGCAGCAAACAACGCTGCCCACCACCCACCTCTTTATACTAATGGCATTTTGTGGATTCTTATGAAAGTTAAAAGTCTGTAGAAATACAAAGACTATATATTTTGTTCTACCACAGGGAGGTATTCAATTATTTTTTTTTTGCCTTTAAAAACATATGTATACATGCTATGCTATACAGTAAAACTAATTGTAAGTTATTTATCTTATTTGGAAGACTAGAGCTGAAAGAACACAAGTTTGGTTCCTGCCTTCTTGGTGCATTCCAGGCATTGGATGGATTTGTTAAATAATATCAGCAGCACATCTGATTCAATTTAATAACAGTTTGATTAGCCAAACTAGGTATTGGACAGTAACTGTAAATACTGGGCTTGCATATATACTTGCATATATACTGTAATATACTGTATAACCCTCATTCTGCACTGCATGTACATAGTATTTCTACATTTTAGGCAGTTTAGGCAAAAATAAGATGAGCTTGAGAAATATTTGTTTTACCCATTCACTCATTCCGTCATACCTCAGGTGTGAGAGGGCTGCAGTCTGGGGTGGCTGCTCCACCATTGAAGTGGTTCTGTGCTAGCAGGAATGGAGAGCTGGCCATGTCCAACAGCGGGTAGTTGACCAGAACCACCTTACTGAAGTTAAATTTGTAGGTGAATCGCTTTCCTTTAGTTTTGTGCAAAATGCGCTTGTTGTAATAGTACCTGGAGAACCAATAAAGTGGAGAGTAAGAAGTGAGAGTAAAGAAAAAAGATGGGAAGGAGAAGAGAGAGGAAACCAGGGAGACATTAGTAAGTTAGTGAAGGCAGAACATTTTTAAAAACATTTTCACATATTGTGTGTTGAATCCTACATTCTTTAAAATAAATAGTTCTTGGCTTGGAACAATTGTTCCATTTGCTTCAGTATTTTCCACTCAGACGTAAGTATTTTTAAACACGTATTTCACAAGAGCTAAGAATAAAAAATGTAAGACTTCTGAATGCTGTTAATGGGCTGTCTGTAACTGATCTACATTCTAAATTCTGTACATAGACATGTAGAATACATTCTGCTGTCAATGAAGTAGGCTAAACAGCTCAGAGGATAGCTTTTTTGAAGGAGTCACTACGACATACAAATTTAAGATCATGCTGCCTGATTGCCAATTAGTAGTGGCACCAGGACTGCCATTTTGGGTGGGGACAACAAATTTGTGGGTGGGCCAAATCTCATTCCCATGGACAGGAGGGGGGATTAAACCATAACTGAGGCATTTGCCAAGTGTCATTTATACACTGCAGTATAAGAAACATAGTAGCAAACATCAACTGACTGGTCAATCTAAGCTCATAATAGAAAAATGTTTAAACATTTGTCTCTTGCTTTGTACACAGAAGCAGCAATGACCAGCATTTAACTTTGTAAATCAACCAACATTATTTTAACATTATCACTTTAATGTGCTGGCAATTTCTGCCATTTATGCCTTTGGTGTTAATGAGCCAGTTGATTGTTGTTCCACGTGTAGATTAAGATAACTGTAGTTTCTGTGTTTATTTAATTCTTCGTGGTATGTTTGGCTACTTTCATGCTTAAAATTAACCATGTTCTTAGGCTTCCAATCCTTAAGTTCACCGAACGCCTCACAGTTATGGTTATTGGTTAAACTGGGATTTTGATTTTATTGATGTCAAAAATAGAACTTCAAATGTTATATTTAAGGAGTGCATTTTAATTTGTTTGTTATTTATTTAAGATATATTAAAATTTTATGTTCTATCGAACATAAATTTTCTGTTGAGTATAAATCTAAGCTGTCATTTTGCGTGGGCTAATGATAAAAGTGAGAGAGTCTTATCATAACCCCACCACTGGTGTCAGTTACACTTTTCAAATGTATGTGTTTGAACTAGAGATTGGAATAAATGCCAAAATAAACGCTGATAAGTTGGCACTAATATAACATAGGGAATGCCACAGGGGTACTAGCGGAAATTGGGGTCAACAGGCAGATTTGGGAAAAGCATAAGAGGTAATGCCAAATTACGGTACTCTGTGGACATTTTAACTTTAAAAAGGTTCTTCATATGCTTTCATCTTATTAACAGAAATGCATACACTGAAAAAGTTCTTTAGGGATCCAAAAGAGGTTCTTTGTTCCAAAGAATAATTTTTGTACCTTTATTTTAAAGAGTGTACATACATAACAGGGCTATAACTCAGTCCTCTTAAAAATGTGGTTCCTACTAGAAACTGATAACTTTTGCAAAATCCAAAAAAGGTTCACCTTACTTAAAAAAAGAGAGTTCCTTAATGATTAGTCTTCAGTAAAGGCAATGGTTCTATTAAGAACCATGAGTTCTATATATAACGATTTCATGCTAAAATGGTTCTTCAGATTAATGGAGAATGTGTTGTATATTTCCTCTAGCACTCCTATATAGAATGTTTCTGAAAATTTGTCAAGCTTGTAACAATAGAAGAAACCTTTTTAAACAGTGAAAACACTGAAGTTTAAATAGTCTCAACACTGTTATAAACAGCGGTTTCTCTTTAAATGTGCATAGAACAAAATGGTAGAGCACATGTTATTTTAAACACTTTTTCTAAAGGTAAAATGGTCCTAGCATTATAAGGCCAGTCTCTAAAGAGGAAGTAATGCCTCCACTATCATTCTGCAGGATTAGAGATGTCAACGTAGCATGATAGCCATGTCAGTTTCCTTTTCTTCACCTTGATGCATGAACCTGACCTCCTACATATCCCTCAGCATAAAACAACTCTCTGCCTCTCAGACTGTGAAAGCAGTTGGTAATGAAGGATAGATAATATGTCCAGATTCGTTTGAATCTTTGCTTTTAGCTAGCACAAAAAATCTTAGGGAGATTTGAAAAACTGCTCAGCTGCACACGCTCTGAAAATTCAGAACACTTTACGCTTGGCTTCGGTTTGCTCAGCTCAGCAGCCTACACAAGTGCACATAATGCAAGCCGCCACACCAATGATTTGCACACTTTTGCTTTGCATCGCAATTGTGCACTGCCCCTTAATTGAGCAATTAAGAAAGGCTAATCAACGAGGCCAATTATGGCCTACACCAATTCATAACAATTAGCAGAGAGCGACAGCGTCTATTAAAGAGAGGGCGGGGGGGGTTGGAGTGATGGGGAAGGGGGGATGAAACAGAGAGGTTAAAAGATGGAATAGTCTGGGAAATGATTTGCATAAGTAAGAAGAAGACAGGGGCTGATGCTTTCGAAAAAGTTTCATGTTCTGCGTTGAGGGTTTATAGAGCAGGGCTGATATATGTTTGATGATGTAAGGATCAATCTGAGACTTAATTTCAAGATCTCTATTGACAAATCTTCTTTATAAAAGCTTCTTGCCAGAGTTATTTGGACATTTAAAGATCCCACAAAAATTGAAAGTATTGACGTTCTTCAGAGAGAAGCAGCTTTTAAAATGTCCACAAACAAAAAATCTTTCTTCTGCACATAAGGAATAACAAATTAGTTGCTCTCATACTGTTGAAAATTTTAAGCCATGCTGTCCCCGTCACAAGATAAATGATAAAAAGCCAGACATTAAGACGAAAACATAAATATACTATACGCACTATTCGATAAGGTTGAAGTCATAAAATAAAGTGTATCCTAAAGTATTTCTTGTATCAGCAAGAAGTTAAAATTATGTATTAGGGTTAAAGAAAAAGATAAATATGAAGCAAAGGTATTACAAACTAGAATAATAAATGAAAGGTTTCATTCCAAAATACAAATTTCACTGTTGTCAGAAGAAAAGCTCATATCTCGAAAATAATAACTTTACAGGAGAAGAAAAAAAAACTACTTTGCTTTTAATGTAAGTCAGTGGAAGCAGACTTTTTTCCAAGTCATTTTGGGTCATTTCTTTTAGTCCATTTATCATGAAATTTATGTACAATGTAAAGGACGACATTATTATCAAATAGAGTCAAAAACTAAAAAATGTCAAAAAATGGAGAGGTTTTCTTCCAACAACAGCAGTTTATTTCTGTAATATATAATGTATGTTTAAAACCCAACAATGTCAGTCATAAAAAAAAAAGAAAATTCTTGATAGTGGTCTATAATGAGTTTTGGAAAGAAATGTCATCAAATATATTTACCATTTTAATTTTGAATTAATAACATTCAGTTCATAGTACTACATAGTGGTCATATATACACTAAGCGTACAGTAAGATTACATTAAGATTACAACCAAGTGACATCAAGTGTCATCTTTCCACAACTTAATATAATAAAATATATTGCCAAACCTGCTTATGATCTTTCTGCTGCAGTCTTACACAAACTATAGATTTCCGTGTGGTTGCTTGGTTGTTAATTTCAGTGAAAGATGTTAAAGTCAAAAGCTCAGGCATGTGAGTAAGCCTATTCATAGAATAATAAAGTAGTAAAAGAAGTAAGGGACACACAAACAGTTAGAACTTTTTAAGTACCACTTTTTAAGAGGTTTGATCACAAAGTGTCCAAATCATAAATGATGAAAAATATGTATTTTATTTGTGTCTTGCCCTTCACACACTAAAATGCAACTGAAACATATATAAAGTAATACAAATGACAAAATCATTAAGAATGAAAAACAAATTGAACTTAAAACAATCAATAGAAGTAATAATGGAAAAATATATAATAAAACAAATTATGAGAAAAACATTCTAAAACTAAGAAATTAGTAAATATAATTGTAAAAAAAATTGTTAAATAAAACAATCAACATAAAAGCAGATACTAATTAAAAGCTATGGGGGGAAGGTTTTGAGTTATTTTTAAAACTGGCGGCAGATGACGGAGCCCATGTTTACTCTACCTAAAGAAGTGCATATACAACAAAAATATAATTGAACCTAGTATGGACCCAGTGGTACACCATAGTGCATGGTGAATTCTTTTCACTATACAGTCACCTATAGTTACATAGAATTGTCCTCCAGGTAAATGTGTGTCACATAAATCTAGGTCAGTTCCAGAAAGACCAGGTTAGTTTTCAAAACAATACAGAATGATACTGTGATTAACAATATTAAATATAGCACATGATTATACTACTATTCTAAAACAGAATCTGTATTATCTTCTGGAAAACAGAATCCATAATATGTTTTAGGTAGAAGGTCAACAACAGCTGATTTAGAAAAATTTTGATAAATTCCCAATACTGAAAAACTAATGTTTTAACTAACTATGGATGATCTTAACTGAGGAATTATGACATACTTTTATGCATTTAATGTGATTCATTTTGAATTATAGAAGTACTAAAAAGAAGTCTCACAAAAAAAGAAAAAGGACGGACACCCTAGATACTGAAAATAAATAAATATATATATAGTTGTTGATAGTTCTCTGTTAAATGTATGCTTTTCTGCTTTTTTCCTGATGCTGAAAAATGAAACTTGCATAGCCATTTCACAGGAAATTAAATAAATAATGAGTGGTCTCTGACTTTTGCAAAGAACTGTATATAAACATCTTAGCATTAAAACTAAACGCATAGTAAGCCCACCTTAGCGCACGGCTTAACTTGTCATAGTTCATGTGAGGCTTGCATTTCCGAATGCCCCACAGCCTTGCCACTTCATCCGGGTCTTTGATCACAAATTCGCCATAGTCTCCCTGCCAGGCGATCACCCCCTGGTACTCCTCCTTCTGCAGCAGCTCCAGGATGAAATGCCACAGCTGGATCTGCCTGGAGCCAGGGCTAGACTCTGGTTTATAGGCCCAGTCTGGGAAGGCGAAGCCTGAGGGGAAAGAGGGAGGAAAGTTAGAGAGCGTGGATGAGACCTGTTGGTTTTTAGTGATTGCTGAGAGGCATGGCTGTCTACACAGTCTGCTACAGTGAGGAGTTGGCTGTGTTTAAGCCTGCAGAATTAGCTCTAATGTTAATCGAGGACATATTAACACAAAAATAACACATAACTTGCCAGCCTTAATAAATCTCCAATCAACCTGTCAGCCATTTTGAAATGTCCAAATCTTGGTAGAGTTGCCTTTATCTACGCTCTTAAAAATATAAGTCATACAGCTATACGCCAAAGCTAAGAACCGTTTAGGAAGCTATATTTTTAAGAGTGTATAACATCAATGTTGTCTTCATATTTTAGACAAAGATGATATCAATGATGACCATTCTGACGTTCTACATCAATGTTCTAAATGCTTTTACTTCTCACCTGGTGTCCAGAGGGCTGGGACAGGTGGAGTGAGCAGCAAGTCACTAACACAGTTACAGTCCATGCCTCCACTGCACCTGTACACACACACACACACACACACACGCATACACACATATATATATTCTGGTTATACATGGATAATTCTATCATTGTTATGGCTAAGTAAGTAAGTAAATAAGTAAATAAGTAAATAAATAAAAAAGTGCCACAACTTTGAAATCATGAAAGTGATCTCAAAATATGAATAAACCAAAGATTATTGATGTTTTTCCCTTTTATTTTACTCCTGAATTAACCCATGAAAAACTATAATAATTCGTTCTTTTGAAGTTTCATCTTAGTGATGTTTAGTCATGTTGTGCATTAAAAAACAACACATCACACCAGTGACTTCACAAATGCTTCAGCATTGTTTTTATTTTTATGTAAACAACAAATTTGTTTTTCAGTTTTAGTTGTAAAAATGCATTGCAATTCTGATCTATGTTAAAAATATTTCAAATACATAAATATAATTCCATTAGTGTACTAAATCTTGTCCTGTTACAGAAAACGTCATTAAATAATATACAGAAATATGTTTTTGAATTACTTTATGTATGAATGTTTCTATGGAAGAAAGACTAACTCTGAGGAGTACATGACTATTTAAATCTCTTTTTTTCCTGATAAATTAGAATAAATTACGATAACAAAAAGATTGTCTGTAGTGTTACTTATGAAACATTACATGATTTTAAAGATGAAATTAAAAAAAACATGCATACAATATTTGTGATTTTCTACATGCAATGTGATGTTGAACCTAAAAGGGAGGTGGATTGTTGTTGTTCTTTAAAAAAGTTCAGATTGTAGTGGTATTAACACTGATGTTGTTCACTATAACAGACCATGTTTTACACCTGAACTTTATATCAGCATTTGGAACCGCGATGGTACAAAAAAACAACATGCACTGCAAAATAACCAACATACAGTGCAAAAAATCTGACTAAAAACAAACAGAACTAAAAACGCAGAATTGGCTCCTAGCATATGTAATTTAAGCAGTAACACATGCTTAAATCACATATCTCCATATAAATATCCATTTCATAGCTAGCACACTAGAGGGTCAGTGCACACTCTTCAAAATCATGGAATGCTGTTCCAGTGGCCTCTGAAAAACCTGCTTCTCATTTGAAGGCTGACTTTAAATATGACTGCCGAAGGCCGGCCCAATAGCCAAGTGTAAGATCACTGAGCATTTTTCACAAAGAGAAATAGTCCAAAGAGCCTCTCACAGGTCCAGTGGCTATGAAGTAGTGCCAGCTTGTGTGGATTTTCAACCAATTATGCATACAGTTTTTCAGAGGCATGTTTTAATGTATATATGCAAGCCATACAAAAAAACATTTCTTTTTTTCTGTAGTGAGAGAATGAACAAATTAAAAGAGAGGAAACAAAAGGACTTACTCAACTCATAAAATAGTTTGAATTGAATTTGGCTACAGAAATCTCCAAAATAAAACTGATCCTATTCCATCAAATTTAAAGTGAACCGAGGGGGAAAATAAATGGAAACATTCAAGCCACACTCAAACTCCAATAGCAGAAACTGGCACCGGCGGTGTCATTAAGCACATACACGTTCAAGGTAGTATATTAGAAATCATTAAAGGCACACGGATTTGGCATCAGAAGAAAGTAGGTAACTCAATAAATATCCATTTCTCTGTGCAACAATGCAGCATAGCTGGAGAAATTCAATCTTACTTTGTACATCACAATTTCATAAAGGTTGTTTTACAAAGCTTGGGTGGAAGAAAAAAACGTCAGTACATGGGTATCTTTAATGCTGCTCTCTCCCTTGCTCCCTCTCTTCTCTCTCCCTCTCTCACCCTCTCTTCTGCTACTCTATTTAATTATGCTCTGTGAATTTTGGATCTTCCCTCCAGCATTGAAATGGAACGTGAATTATTAAGGTGTGTTTGTATAAATTATTATTGCTAACTCCAGGCACTTCTCTCTTTCACTCACTAACGTACACACACTACAGACACACACACACTCACACGCTCACACACTCACACACACACACACACACACACACACTCACACACTCTCTCTATTGCCTTTAGTCTTTGGACTGTCCACTTACTCACTCCCTCTTTTCTTTCTCTTCTTCTTGCTCTCTTTGTTTCTTGGAATTCATCTCCCATTCCCTCTTTATTTCTTTTGACACAGATTCTTTCCTTCTCCTGGCAGCCAGCTAATGCTAATTAGTTTCAGGTGAACCATGAAAAAGTAGAGGAAAAGGTATTCAGAAAAGTACTATTACACATCCCAAAGTATTGGTACATACCAGAGTCTTTGAAGAAGCCCATGAAAATGCAGTGATCGTATACCATGTATGTATATGTAAGACATATTACACATCCCTGCATCTAAATATTTCTGTTTTTTTGCTGCTATGAGTTTGAAAATATTCCCTATAACAGACTATGTTCTGAAAATAGTTAAATGTTATACAAATAGTTAATTAATATAGTGAATTAATAAACTGCTTGGGATCAGGTGAAGATCTTCTCTTACTATGTCAGAAAAATCTACACTAACTCTTCACAGACTATCCATCGCCATGAATGTTCTTTCCTCTTGCCAGTCTTCTGACCTAATTATCACTGTTATAGCCAAACCCTAAAATCCTGACCAAGCCAGACAACACAAGATATAGACTGAAATCAGACTCCTTGAGACCAAGACATCAACCACTGTTCATTTTAGACTATCAAGACAAAGACAACTCCAACGGTCCATAAGCATTGGCATAGTTTTGTTATTTTAACTCTCCAGCTCTTTAGATTTCAAACAAAACAACAACTACACTGTGAGTGGTAAAAGTACACTTTACTAAAAAGTTTACTTTTTTTTGAACGAATTGATATTTTACTCACAGATTTTCAGAAGAGAAATCTGTAGACTTGAAATTAATGTGTTAATTTATTTAGTAAAAGTAAGGCAACCAATTTTTATGCATATTCAATATTACAATTCACAGTGTATGAGGTTACAGGTTTTTTTTTACTTTGAGGGTATTCCCCTTAAAAAATAAAAGTTCCTCAATGGTTCTCGTCTCGGACACATTGGTTTATATAGGACCTTTATATTATGTTAAGCTCCTTCCTGTTTGCACGTCTCATTTATGCTTTTTATTAAATGAAATGTTCTTGAATGAGGTTCAAAAGTGATTCTTTTTATGGCATCATTTCAAAGAACTCTGGGCCTGTTTGGCTAATTGTAGTGTATTTATCTATATCCCCTTTTCAAAAAAAAGGCCTTAGGTTTAGCTGTTCTCAAGTTTCTTGGCTTTTCAATCAGAAATGAACAAATGACAGAGTTTATATTGGGTGATTGACTTGCCCTGTCATCATTCTGCTTCTTGGCCTTGAAAAAGTATAGCTGCTTTAGTAGTATGCTTAAGATCATTGTCCTGATGTAAGGTGAAGGACTATATGCTAATTTAAGGTATTTGGTTGGGTCTGGGAGGTTAACATTCTGTACATTCTGAATTCTGAATTCATTCTGCAGCTTCCCACAGTCACATCATCAGTAAAGACATTCTAACTCTTGCCACCATGTTTCAGAAATGAAGTGGTATTCTTTAGTTTCCTTTGAATCAGTGGCTTTTGTCTCAACAAAATCCATATCTTTATCTCATTTGTCCATACGACATTGCCACAGAACTTTGGTAATTTATGCTCGTTTTCAGCCTCATGATGGCAGCAGGTTTCAGATGAAAATTCCACGTCTAGAATCAACTCTAGATATTTTGTTAGCTGTATTGTGCCACTGAACATCCAATTGTCCAGTTACTTATGGTCTCCTGAAATGGGGAGAGTAATTATAAAAGTGACTATTATTGCTGTTTATTTATGTTGAGGTTGAGTTCTATTGTGCTATGTTGATTTAAATTGTCTCATTTCATATCTAGTATTCATGGCCTAAGCTACAAAAGTTGTGTCACTGTCCAGTTACTAAGAGACTACACTTCATAGCCTCAAATCATTACATTTTAATGATAATTTCTTATTCTTTCTGAAAATTTTCCAAGGATTATCTATTGACACTGGGGTTGTGTTCGAGACCAGAGGTCGAGATCAAGAATTCTTGTACTGAGACCGACACCCAGGCTGATTTTATGGGCCTGTCATGGGTGGCAAAACTAAGACCAAAAAATCAAGACTTCAGCTCTGCTACCCTCACACCTATTCTCTCTCTCTCTCTCTCTCTCTCTCTCTCTCTCTCACTCCCACTCAGTAATTTTCCGTTTGATTTCGGAGGTAATGCATTTTTTACAAATCAAAGAGGAAGCCAGTCCGCCCCCCCCACCTCTCTCCTTTTGCCCGATCTCCCTCTCTCACCCCCCCACCCTCTTCCCCCCAGGCAGGTGAAGAGATAAAGGAGCCCCCATCATTTCCTTGTTAGTTTTGATTTGGGCAGCACGGGGCTTTCAAGTTCCTCCCATCACCCCCAGAAACATTATAACTAGCAGCCCAGGGAATACATCTCCTCACACACTCCTAGATATGGAGACACACACTGATGTAGGGAGTGTACACTGCATGCTCTCGCACACACATACAAACACATGTGCATATACACACAGATATGCACAACAGAGTTATGAATGATAAACACATTAATATGTACACTCAACAACAGTGCAAAGCTAATTGCAGGCTAGCATGATGATGGGACAAAACAATAGCACACAATTGCACAAAAAAAGGATACATAGTGACTTGGATAGTGACAAAAGTAATAATATAAAGGACAAGACCCCACAGACATGCTATCTAAGACTATGGTTCTGGGGTATTAAGGAAGATTGAATCCAGGGTATTGCAGGAGATGAGTCGCAACAGAATGCTATGTGCGCTATTTCTTTTACAACCGTGAACAACTTGGAACATCGGTTCAGCAATGAAGAAAAGAATAGAAAAGGACAACAGCATGATACAGAAAAAAATGCTTCAAAAATGGCTGGCAATTAGATTTTTTCAAATGCTTATTTTAAGATTTTTTGGCCATT